TGAAGGGTTATAATTATTTCAAAATTTTCATTCTGTCCATTGTTATATGACAAAGCAATTAAGTTTTAAAAGTAGGTTAAATTAATTTAATGAATTTCAGACAGAAACAGATTTGGGCTTTAACCCACTCACCCCGCCCCTCGTGGTAGACCACAATGAATGTTGACATATAGAAATATTTTTCCAGATTGGATGTGAGTTTTCTAATAGGAAAGGTTTTGCATTTAAACTCATTCAACTTTACTGAGATCTGCTGTTTTTATAATGGTTTATTTTCTTATCTCTTAGAGTTTACAGTTATCTTGAAAATATGAAAATAAATCTGTTTTGAGAGGAATGTGACGCTAATAGGAAGTGTAAATTCTTTAAAAGAAGAGGGTTCTGTGGGATAAACGAAATCTCTTGGGTTTGCCTTTATTCATCTTGGAACTACTTTTTCCCCTCTGAAGTTTTCAATTCCATGCAAATATGTTATTTTTAAAACAAAGTATATAGCACACACCTGAGAGTGGCCTTAATTTTAAGGAAATTTAAATGAAAGAAGGCACAGAAAAACTCTCTACTGATAAACCAGCTCTGAATCAATCATTTCTATAATTTCCATTATATTTATTATAATTTTCCAAATACCTACTTACTAAATAATAATTATATATCCTCATTTTTCCTCCGAGAGTGCTCTTTTTTCTATTTCTTATTTCTTCTGTTGCAACCACCTTTTCCTTCACTTTTGTGATCGTTGCCTTTAATGCTATTTCTGGTTGTTGTCTCTAATTTATTGGGATAGTTTTTTAAAATTTATCTACAACATTTGATTATTGATTTAATTTATAGATTCTTTAGCAGCCTTCCAGTTCCAAGGGCTCCAAAGCAGTTTATAACTGAAATGAAAACTATTTAATCCAACATCTGAAAATATATTTAGAAACCAAAAGTCAAAAACAGCAATAACAACAATGGCGGGGGGGGGAGCAATCCATATAAAATGCTGACTAGTGAGACAGCAGCAAACAATCTAACTTCTAAATTAGGATAAAATGTTGATTATCTAAATAAGAGGATAATTGTTTGCATTGACTCTCCAGCCAAAGAAACATTATAGAAACATGTGGGTAACATATTAAAATGCAGTGGGAAAAACCAGAGACTCGGTTTAAATTTTCTGGAATATTTAGCACTTTACAATAGTGTATATCCTTTACAACACCACAAATAGCCTTGGTGGTGCAGCAGACTAAAATGCTGTTAAGTAGCACCAGCTGCCTGCAATTACTGCAAGTTCAAATCTCACCAGGCTCAAGGTTGACTCAGCCTTCCATCTTTTCGAGGTAGGTAAAATGAGGACCCGGATTGTGGGGGCAATAAGCTGACTTTGTATAAAAAAGAACACCGCTTAGGGGGGACCGAAAGCCCTACTAAGCAGGTATATACAAAAGTATGAAGGCTATTGCTTAACGCATTGTAAGCCACCCTGAGTGTCTAGAGAAGGGCGGCATATAAATCGAACCAATAAATAAATAAATAAATAAATAAATAAATAAATAAATATACAACTGTATGCAAAAGGTATTTCAGTTAGTCATGTGTCTAATTGTTTGGGATTGCAGCGCTGACCGGTTAAATGGAAAGATTTGAGGGAGAGTCAAATGGTGTCTCAGCAGACCAGAGTTTCCTTGACATGATGTTAATTTTAATCCTTCAAGGTAATCCATAGAAGATGCACACCAGGAGTACTAGCATTGCCTTTATTGTAAAGTTATGTTAGCAGAAGTTACTTTAACTTGCAAGTCTGAAAGCATTATTTATTAATTAAATTTATATATATCGCCCATCTTGCTATTTGGGCGACTCTTTGTCTACTTTTTTCATTTTTATTCATCTAGATCAGAAGTGTTGAACAATGACCCTTTTATGACTTGTGGACTTCAACTCCCAGAATTCCTGAGCCAGCATGCTGGCTCAGGAATTCTGGAAGTTGGAGTCCACAAATCTTAAAAGGGCCATTGTTCCACACCCCTGATCTAGATGTCCCCACTGACTGCAACTAGATATGGATTTTCCCTCTGAAGTTAGCTAAGATTTGTATTGAATTGGAGACTCTTTAGAAATTTAGAATTTTTTTAACAAAAATATTCCTTCAAATTGAGACACTCAGCTGCAAGGGCTATTCTTACTTAGCTAGTACATAATTTAACATTGTGCCATGAGGGTACTGTCATTTCTCCCTCAATTTAAGAAGGAAAGAGAAATGTCTATTTGTTAAAGAGACTTGTACTTAAAAATGGAAAGGTCAGACAACTCATTGTGTGAAAATGTACTGGGCCTTGTTATCCTTCTTAATTCTCTTCCTTTAAGTTGATGATGTTCGTTTGCAGAGAAATTATGTCTAACTCTGACTGTACCTTCTTCTATAAACAGAGGATCAAGCTCCAAATCCATACTGAAAGTAAAAATATGGGACAGCTGTTCTAATGTGACTCATCCTACCTTCCCGAACTGACAAGAGGTGTAAATGAATTGGCCCTAACTATAAACATATTAAGCACGGAAAAGCTGTGTTAGATAAATCAGCTATTAATAAAAGGGGTGGGGACACACTGGTGGCATCTGGCCAGGTCCTTTATGATAAGCCTTTGCAGGCGTGGGCCAATCCGGTTTGATGGTTTGTTGGCATTGGCTTCTTCGGCCAGTGCTGCAGTAAACACTTTTCCTTGGAAGTTGGTTTTGTGTTGTGTCTGGCAGCCACACTGGGTTGCTTGAACTTTAGCCAGAGGCAAATATTTATTCATCAGAGGACGCAGTGTTCAACTGATCAGGCCTGCAAGAAAGGGAGAGAGCAGTTGGACTCTTTGACCGTAAAGGATGTGTGTCTTTTTTTTTTTTTAATGGCATTCATGACGTGAAATGGAACCCCATTTGCATCTATTTCAGTGTCAGCTGTGTATCTTGTAACATAAACTTTGCAAATTTGTTTAAACATCAGGCTTAGATGTATTTCTAAAAGAGGAGCATCCTGATCTGAGCTCTGTTGCTTTAATTCCTGTTGGAAAGTTTACAGTTAATATTTTCCCTGGAACGCTGTCAAGCTTTTGACAGAGCCTGAGTGTATGCTGAACTGTGAAACTGAGAAGCAGAGCAAGTTGTGAGAAATCTGTTTCTACTCAAATCTGTAAGGTTTATAAAAACTTCAGAGAGGCAGAAAGAGGGGGAGAAAAAAATTTGAGACTGGCTCTCATTTTGCTTCTCATGGAGCACAGCAAGTCCGCCATTTTAAGAATTCAGCAAAGGGCGAAGCTTTCAGACTCCTTACATGGCGGCTGTATTTACTTCAGTACCGGCCAATCGTACAGTCTGTGCCAAATCATGTGACATGCCACGAATGCACTTACAGTCATTTCCTTGTTTCTAAAACTTTGTTACCTCGATAGATTACTTTACCTTGTTTTTGATGCCAAATGTTCTTTGCCGAACGTGTCTTGCAAGCTGGCATTTGTCCACAAAGTTATTTTAGTAGGTTAAAAAAAATCTTCAAGCACTTGAGCTGTGTGCATTCTTTATGGAAAATGGATTTCCCCTCCTGGCCTCAATCCAAAAGCACAGAACACTCGCTGGGCGAGAAGAGAGCTTCTCTGCAGAGGAACTGGTGGACTGACACACTCTAAATTTTTGGCACTTGACCAGACGAGTGAGATAGATGCCAGAATTCAACAAAATAACACATTATTGTGTAATAGGAACAGGACTCAAAATGAGCAAAGGCTCACAAGAACTGAACACCAGTGCTGCTTTCTTTCTTTCCTTTTCTTTTTTTTTTTAATATAACAGAAGCTCAAAATGGCACTTTAAAAATGTTATTTCAGAAGAAGGAAGGAAATAGAACTGTAAAGTATTGAATGAATACAATCATACAGTTTCAACATAAAACAGAAGGGCTGGAGAGAGGGAGGCAGGGAGAAAGAATGGATTAAAATTACTTCAGTGAGTTTTTTTTTCCCCTCCCAAACTTGCACTGTATTATTCAGGTTAACCCAATGCTTTCCGATCCAGAGTTCTAAATTATATGGAAAACATTTAAAACAACACACTTTTTTTTTATTTAAGAGGCCAGAAACTCAAAATCTTAATTTTAGTGTTAAAAATAAGTTTTAAATTCTTAAAATCAAAGTAGTCAGTGAAAAAAAGGCAGTAAGGCTAAGCACACATGTTCTTATATTATTGACATAGCAGTTAACTGTCCTTAAGTTAGATCTGCTAGAGAGTGAAACAGTCAACAGTAAGTTTTATAGACTAGCAGAAGAATGTGACATTACTATATCTCACCAGGATCTATATGTGCTACACTACTGTGGTGCTGACATAACTGACTTTAGTACTACTGGTTACTATTTTGCTCAGAAATTATCCCCACCTCCAGGACAGCATAATTTTATTGAATCAATGGGTAAACCCAGACATGTTTGCCCTTTACCATCATAATTAGAATATAGGATAGGTCTAATGTGCAATCACACAATTCAAATAGCAGCGTAATCAACCTAACTAGTAGACATAAATCTCATACATCAGGGGACAAGGTTGGAATAGTCTCCTACAGAACTTGGCATTCATAAATGGGAACATTTATTTGATGAAGTTGAGAACATTTGGTGAAGTATTTGACTGAAACTGTCAAGGTTTCGGGGGGGGGGCATAATTTTAATACTTGATTTCTCAGAACTCTTAGAGATACTCTGCCTCAGGATCTCGATAAAAGGACAGAACTGGAATTTCAACTTCAATCCTGCAACTGGGGCTGCATTGATAAAGTTTCCCACAGAGGTAAGCCAGTGATTGGGGGAATGTCAAGGAGGAAAAACTGCCTTAGGGTAATAATGGGAAGAGAGAATACTAGTTAAACCTACTAAAATAACAAGTTTTACAAACGGGATATAGATCAAGTGTCTTGTACAGAATGAAGGGTCCTAATGGCCCCCAAGCTCCAAATGTAAGTAAACTGTTTATGAGGGCACTGGGATTTATAGGGATGTGTATGGGTGAGCATCAGGACAGTCTAGACTTTTACAACTGTTAGTTACTTATGAATTTATTTTCTTTGCAGAAATCTGAAGCACAAAGCAGAAAAAAAAAGTCATTGCCATCAGAAATCCATTGTATCTCTCAACATAGATAGGTGAGTACTACCTGACTACCTCATCTGTTACCTATAGAAAAGCCACCAAACACAAATTAAAGGGACAGGACCAAAGAAGAAATCACATCAAATAATGAGAACTTATTTGACCTTCTCATCCACCTGTTTCCAATCACATCTAAATGCAAGATCTACTGCATCCATTGGTCATTGCTACTTCATATGTATCCTTTCTCTGCAGGTAACCTGGCAAGCAGCAAATTTAAGAGGCAAAGATGTTCACTACTCTAGTATAAAGCGCATATGAGGAAGCTTTGTGGACAAACCTGAAGCAGAAAACAAGCAGCGGAATAATTCTCTTTTGAGGCTGCTTCACACTTTCTCCTTTCAGAAGTCCTGTGCTTGAATAACAGACCGTTATACAGGATGGGCAACTTATTGAACATTGAACAATAAGAAGTGCTGCAGCTGTTGTCTTTCTGTCTATCATACAGGTGGTTTTAGACCTGCGCCTCCTTGTATAAGGCTGTCAGGATTTTCCAGCTTAACCAATATTGTTCAATAAAAACTATATTTTACCTCGATTGACATGAGAGTTAGCTGTTTCTTTCTTTCCAGTTATTCACTACAGCTTTGGGGAGTGGAATAGGGCATTTAGATTTGAACATATGCTCCTCTAACATGTTTTAGTAGGAGTAATCACAGAAACATCCAAATGAGACGAAAGATATTGAGGGCCTAAAGACTTTGGTAGATCAATGCTATGTCTCTCTTCACTACTTGATATAATAAACCAAGTGTGTATTATATGAGACAACGGAAGGATGAGGAAGACTGATAGCACTTAACAGGCAGTCATATTCCATGTTAGGAAAACAACAACATAAAAAATGTGGCAATGAAACACTGAGGGCTGAGCAAAAATTCTTTTTCCTCACAATATTGTCATAACTACTGAAAAGTGTGATTTACACACTTTTAATAATTGAAAATGGTCTTAGCCTTTTGTGACACCTCTAATACAGCTAATACAGTAGAAGTGTGAGATACCTTTAGGGAATTGACAGGTGTAAGAGCCATATATATTTTGGTCTAATATAGTCTACATTTGCATGCAAAAATTCAGGCATTCCTGCTCAATTTGTATGCTGAATTGAATAGGAACCTATGTAATGTAAAATTAAACAAAAAGTAAAATACATATTTACTGTCTATATGCAATTCCTTGCAAATTAGAAGTAAAATGTCTTTCATGGTCCTTAGATTTGATTGTTATTGATGGGCTGTATTAAGATCTCAGCCATACAGTATTATCGAAGGACACTTATGGATGTTTCTTAAGAAGAAAAGTTCTGCAAGGAGGAGTAGGGAAAGATTTAAAAACATGAATAAAAAGATATTTAGCTGTGACAGGAAATATTTAGAAGTTATTATTTCCTCCAAACAGGCTGTTACATAGTATTGATTGAACAGGTATTCACACTTTTACACCAGACATAGTCAATGTTTTCTTATTTCATTTTGTCAGATAAATGACAAAAATTTAGATTTGTAGAAAGGTTATGTATTTAACTTCGAACCATGTAATAATTATCTCGGCTTCTGTTCATGAAGCATATGGTATGGTCAAAAGAGCCTAAATGTTTGCATTTACACTTACGCCTCACTACACATGATGTTCACAACAATGTACTCTATAGCACTCTATAGCACTTGAAAGCTGCAACTGGTCCATAGTGTGGTGATGTGGGCTATATCCATGTAACACCACTGCTCTGTGAGCTGTACTGGTTCCCAGTAGGCTATCAGGTGCAATTTGAGGTGATGGCCATCACCCAAAGCTCTCCATGGCACAGTGTGTAATAGTGGGAGTGACCTTGAAAGATGGTGAAGAGTCATAACCAGGCCAGTAGCCATATAAGAGACAGGTTTACCATTCAGCAGGTATGTGGGCATGATAAAGTCTCAGGAGACACTACCCCTAGTTTCATTGGCTGTGGACAGTGGACAAATGTATTTTCAGATTTGCAAGATTCTGTTAACATAAACTTACAAAAAAATAGAATTAATTCAACTAGATGTGCTATTTGTCGGGACTATTTCACCTGTCTATAGGGCCAGGCTATTTTCAAGTTTGCCTTTCCCTCATTGTTTCTGCTTGTCCTACAGAGATTAGAGATGACATGTTCCAGGTCCTTTCTATTAAACAATGCCATCTTGTTGGACTCTGAAATTGTGACTTATAAGTGGCAGTGCCTGACCTACGGAACACTCTCCCACTGGAATTTTAAATGGCTTTGACCAAGTTATTTTTTGCAAGACATTGAAGACCTGGTGTTTCTTCAGATACTTGTCTCACTCTGTTCTGACAGTTTAAGGGAAGGTAGACATCCTATACCCGTATGGCACATGTGTCACAGGTGGCACACAGAGTCATCTCTGCAGGCACATGAGCCATTGCCTAGGTCACCTTCACTGCGCATGCGCGTGCGCCGGCCACCTGATTTTCGGCTGGCCTCGCCCACGCCTCCCCTCCCAGGAGTCTCCACGCGGCCGATTTTGGATGCCAGGTAAGTACAGGCCTTGTGCAAAGGCTCTGGGAGAGTGAAAAACAGGCCTCCCAGAAGCCCGGAAATGGCTTATTTCCAGCCTCCGGAGGGCCAGGAGAGGCCTGTTTTTCACTCTCCCCAGGCTCCTGGAAAGACTCCGGAGCCTGGGGAGAGCGAAAAACAGGCCTACCGGAAGCCAGAAACAGGCTGTTTCTGGCTCCAGAGGTTTCAGGGCGGCTTGGTAGGATGTGGGTGGTTGTGCGCGGGTGCGCAGTCGCATGTGCAGTGGGCAGGGCAGTGCAGAGGGGGTCGCATGCACATGCGTGGGGCGGGATGGGTAGGGTGCCATTGCATTATGGGTGTGGGCATGCATGCACGTGATACCCCCCACACTCCCCCCGCTTTTGGCATGTGACGGCAAAAAAGTTTACCATCACTGTCCTATACCATACTTTAAAGATGATACTTTTGCATATAACTGCAAAGTGGCACAGTGTTTGATTTATTATAGTTTATCAGATAGCTAGAGGTACAGGGCATATTTGAAAGATTCATTATAGTCCATCTGATAGTTACAAATATTTGGAGGGTCTCATTTGGAGCATTTGTGAGGAGTAAAAGCTTTATGAAGTGATTTTTTTTAATGTCTCAGTTTAGATGGCAGTTGTCCACAGAAGTTAAAGTTGCTTTTCTATCTGTTTTCCTTCTCTGTTCTCATGCTAGTTTAACATTAGTGATCTAGAGATTAGGGTTGAAAATGTTTGAATTCCAAAAAAATGTTATCCAGATTTAGGCTTGAAAATATTTTATTTTTCTGAGTTGTATCCTCCCAGTAATTGATAACGCTGAAATAACAACTTCCAATAGACAAAGGGAAAGAAATTGCCTCTACATGTTAATAATACATTGTATTTCAATATCTGTTATCCTTTTTTTAAGGTTATATATGTATGGCAGAAATCACATTGCTATACTTTGTTGTTGCATTGTTCTGAGTTTATAGATTGCATGGTTGTTAATAATAATAAGACCAGAAGAACTGCCCTGCTAGATCATGTGATCTACCCATAATAGTCCAGCAGTTTATATCTCACAGTAGTAAATCAGATATTTTTGGATTCCTATGCGATAGAAATATGCCACTCTTCCACTGTTGGTTTTCTTCAGAATATTTGAAGGATCCTAAGTCAGGTTTCTAAGACAAGTTTCTGTACTGCTCTTGACAGGAGCGGTACAGGTAGGTAGCTACCACCATGAAGATTTATCACCAAGTGAATACACCATGAAAAGAAAAGTAGAATAATTTTAGCCTGGTCAGTTGTGCTTTGAGTGAAAACTATGGGTTGATTTTTTTGTGTGTGTGGGGGATACTCTATTGGTTTGTTTTCTTGGCTGTCTGCGATATTCTCAGGAGCCTTCTCCAATGCCAAAATTTAAAAGCATCAGTACTCTTCCTATTCTTAAATTCCAACTTTCGTTTCCATGGAATGTCATAGAGAATATCATAGCTTCTACAGTTCTGATCTTTTAGCTACAGCCACATCACAACAGTTTGAATGTCTTTTGGAAGGCCTTCATGACTGTTCTACCAAGGTCTAGTCTGCAGAATATTTCTTGACTGCGTTTTCCTTTAGTGTTGAGGGTTGATCATAAAAGGCACAAGCACTCCATTCCTTTGATATCTTCATTGCCAATTCTAAGGCTGGTTTGTTCTATCTGTTACCATTAGTTTGGTGTTTTTTATATTTAATTTTACTCCCATTTTTTCACTTTGCTTCTTAACTTTTATTATTAGAGTTTGTAGACTTTATGGATTACTGGCTGGTTTACAAGAATAAAAACAAACAAAAAAATACCAAAAAGCCACACTCAAATGCCATAAGAAAAGCAACCTTTCAGAGGCAAACAAAGTTGCAGGACCCGCCATCATTTTGACCCAGGGCCTTGGCAAAAGAAGGAAGTTCCAAGACCTCTTTTGAACCCAGAGTGAGGTAAGGGCAGGGGTGAAATCCAGCAGGTTCTGACAGGTTCTGGACAACTGGTAGCAGAAATTTTGAGTAGTTTGGAGAACTGGTAGCAAAAATTTTGAGTAGTTCGGAGAACCAGCAAATACCCAGAGTGGGGTGGGAATGGAGATTTTGCAGTATCCTTACCCTGCCACACCCACCAAGCCAAACCATGCCCACCAAGCCACACCCACAGAACTGGTAGTAAAAAAATTTGGATTTCACCACTGGTGTGGACACTGCATTCATGGATTCAATACCTTGAAAATGGCCAGATTTTCAGCAATCCTGGTTTCTCTATCCTGGCTTAATTGCAAGATGTGAACCAGCCTGTTCAGCTATCGATGGTTGAGCCTCATGTCACATGTAAAGGTGACATGAGGCCATCAAGCCACGCCCACCAAGCCACACCCACAGAACCGGCAGTTAAAAAAATTTGGATTTCACCACTGGGTAAGAAGGGGGTGTTCAGATTTATGTATTCATAAACCCTACTGAGTTGTTTAGGAATACTGGTTGGTAACTCTTACTTACTAAAGAGTCAACTGATTGAGATTAAGGAAACCTGTAAAAATATAAGACTGTATATATAGTACCGGCTGTTAGGGGAGGACTTGATTATCCATCAGTATCATTACCCTATAAGTCTCACAGTTGTGATAGAACGATAAGAGTAGATCTTTATTATCCTTTGGTGTGTGTGCATTCACGTATGTACCAGCCTTGGTAATTTTTGTTTTATTTTAAGGATTGAAAATGAGCCCAGGTGCAGTTAAGAATAGCTGATACCAAACAAACAGTAATTCACACTTAACATACGGGAAGGATAAAGCAATGTCATGTACATAAGCAAAAGACAACTGACATTAACGCAGCAGGCAAGGTGATTACTTAGCAATCTAGTAACTATATGTGATCATTATTGCTGGTTGGTGGGTTGTTTAAATGAGTACCTGAAGGTTAAGTAATAGCTGTAGGAGGGAGGAGAAAGGAATGGGGGGAGAAAAAGAAGAAAAGGAAAGGAGGTGA